CGCCGCCGCCGCCGCCGCCGCCGCGGCCACCGCGCAGCCCGAGCCGCAGCCGCCCACGGGGCGCATCGTCTTCACGGACGCGGACGACGTGGCCATCTTGACGTACGTGAAGGAAAATGCCCGCTCGCCCAGCTCCGTCACCGGCACCGCCTTGTGGAAGGCGATGGAGAAAAGCTCGCTCACCCAGCACTCGTGGCAGTCCATGAAGGACCGCTACCTCAAGCACCTGCGGGGCCAGGAGCATAAGTACCTGCTGGGGGACGCCCCAGTGAGCCCCTCCTCCCAGAAACTCAAGCGGAAAGCTGAGCAGGACCCCGAGGCCGCCGATAGTGGGGGTGAGGTCTCTGCCGCGAACGCGGGAGCTCTTGCTGCACCTGTGCGGGTGGGGGCGGGGCTCCTCCCCTCTTCGGTCCGGTGTCCATGTTGGCGTCTCCGGTAGCGTCGCCCGGCCCTCCCCCCTCCCCTTTAGACATCCGGGTAAAATTGCACCATTTTCTACTCGCACTTCGATTTACTTTTTTCCGGTAGCTGACGTGGTTTGATGCTCAAATGGTACAAACAGGCTAGGTAGACATTCCACCTGATTTTAGCCACCAGCTACCCAGTTTTCTTCCCCGGAGGCAATGTGTTGTTAACCGTATCTTTTCCAGAGGCTGGTTTCCAAAAATACTTCTCTCTGTTCAGGTAGAGTCAGTGTAAGCTTTTTCAAAGGCATGCCAGACCAGTTTATTTTCATGTTTTGGCGTCTATGCGTATTCACAGAAGGTTCTCGTCAGTTGGAATGATCTTCCTGGTCTCGCTCAGGTGAAGTGCGTTTTTAATGTAGTTGAACTGAACGTTGGGATTCAGGTGCGGTTAGGGCTTCAGTGCAAAACTGTTAAGATGCTTCACTTTTCATGTAACCGGTATCGACAGGTTAAACCGACCTTTTTGTTTAAAGAAGCATGTCCCCCACCCCCCCTTATGTGGCGATTCCATATAACATTTCGAGATGGGGAGGTAAATCTGTTTCTCCTGTTCAGCATGCTTAGTAGGAATTTTGTTTTTGGTAAAAGTGACATTTCAGATTCATTCATTCAACAGATATTTGAGTGCCAGACACTGTTATCCTGCTGGGATATAACAATAAATAAAAGTCCCTGCGGTCATGGAGCTTAACATACTAGCTGGGCAGTGGTAAGTGCTATAGAGAAAAATAAAATCAGGGTAAGGGCTGGGGAGGAGGTTGTTTTCTATAGGGCGATAAGGCAAGTCACTATAAAAGCTTGTATTTGAGCAGAGACCAAAGGAAAGAGCAAACCAGGTGGTTATCAGTGGGTGTTTCAGGCAGAGGGAATATTGAGTGCAAAGGCCTGGAGGTGGGAATATGGCTGGTGTGTTCTTGGAGCAACAGACCAGTGTGGCTAAAATGGACTAAAGCAAGGGGGAGGATTCTACGAGAGAGGACAAGGTTATGTGTATGGGTGAAGTAGATCGCATGGGGCTTTGCTTTGAAATCCAGTAGGGTTGGGACTATGGGCAGGCCATTTGGAACCTTGGAGAAAATTAAGCTGGATTCGCCCTACTGTAATTTAATTTTGATGATCAGAATTTAATTGTAAAAATTAAAATTCTAAAATCACTAAGAAAATAAGGATGAGGGGCACCTGGCTGGCTCAGCCAGTAGTGCATATGACTCTTGATGTCAGGATTGTAGGTATAGGTTCAAGCCCTACCGTTGGGTGTAGGTATTATTTAAACAAATAATATGGATGAGTATACTTTTTTATTTTTTAATTCTGCTATTTATTGATCTTTTTTAAAAATTGAGGTACATTTGGCCTACAGTGTCAGTTTCAAGTATACAACCAAGTAATTCTACGTTTTTATATGTTGCAAACTGATCATCACAGTAAGTCTGCTTTTTGTCTGTCTCCATACAAGTTAATACGGTATTACTGATTGTATTCCCTCTACTGCATGTTAAAGCCCCCTGCCTTATTTACTTTGTACCTGGAAGTTTGTACCTCTTGATCCCCTTCATCCATTTTGCTGCCCTGTCCCCCATGCCAACCCTCTTCCCTCCCTGTTCTCTTTTTCTGTGAGTTTGGGTTTTGTTTTGTGTGGTTGGTTTTTTTAGATTCCACTTATCAGCGTGCTATTTGTCTTTCTCTGTCTGACTTCTTTCACTAGCATAATGTCCTCTAGGGCCATCCATGTTTGTTGCAAGTGGCAAGATTTTGTTGTTTTTTGTCTTGTTTTGGTGGCAGAGTAGTATTCCAGTGTATATGCACATCATATCTTTATCTATCGGTGGACGCATTGGTTGTTGCCATATCTAGGTTCTTGTAAATAATACAGTGAAACTGCAGTGAACGTAGAGTTGCATGTAGTTTTTCACTCGGTGTTTTCATTTCCTTCAGATTGTTACTCCAAAGTGGTATTGCTAGATCATATGGTAGTTCTATTTTTAATTTTTTGAGGAACTTCCATACTGTTTTCTATAGTGGCTATGCCAATTTACATTCCCACGAACAGTGCACAAGGGTTCCTTTTCTCCACATCTTTCCTAATACTTGTTATTTCTTGTCTTTTTGATAAGTCATTTTGACAGGTGTGAGGTGATACTTCATTGTGGTTTTCGGTTGTATTTCACTGATGATTAGTGATGTTGAGCATCTTTTCATGGGCCTGGTGGACACTTGTATGTCTTTGGGAATACATCTATTCAGATTGCTTATTTTTAAATTGGAATGTTTGGGGTTTTTTGTTATGAGTTCTTTATTCTGGCTATTAACCTCTTTTTGGATTATTGGATATATGGCTTGCAAATACTTCTTTCTATTCAGTAGGTTGCCTTGAGTATATTTTTTAATATGTGCATGGTGATAGTCCTGAAACCAAGAAGATTTAAAAAAAAAAAGTTGTATATATGTGATTACTTGAAGTTAAAAACTTCTCATCATAAAAGTCAGCAAACCTGAAAAATATTCCTAATACATTGGAACAGAGTTAGTTTCCTTAATGTCCAAAGATCTTGCAGAAGTTAGTAAAAGAAAATCTAGGAGAACAATGAACAAAAGAAATGGAACAAGAAGTTTCTAGAAAAGGAAATAAATGGCAATAAACAAATGCAGAATATTGTTATTAAATAAAAGTAAATTAGACCCTGAACAGAGGCATGATATAAGCCATGGACTTCTGACCCATGGAAAATGAAATAACAAACGTGCATGGTGATGTTTTTCAGGAAAGTGAATGAGGAAATGTTGTATTTTGTCTATCAGATTGACAAAAATTAACGAAGTGGGTAATATCTACAGATACTGGGTAAAATAGACATTACATAAAATTTGTCCTTTTAATCATTTTTAAGTGGTCAGTTTGGTGGCCTTAAGTCTATTCACATTGTTATGGAACCATTACCACCATCCGTCTCCAGAACTTTTTCTTCTCCTAAAACTGGAAAACTACCCATTAAACACTGACTCCCCTTTGCTCCCTCCCCCTGTCAATCACCATTTTACTTTTTGTCTTTAAGAATTTGGTCTTTCTAGCTACCTCATGTAAGTGGAGTCATATATTTGTCCTTTTGTGATTGGCTCATTTCACTTAGCACAGTGTTTTCAGGGTTCATCCATGTTGTAGCATGTGTCAGAATGTCCTTCCTTTATAAGGTTGAATAATACTCCACTGCATTGTGTATACTACGTTTTGTTTATGTGGTCACCCATTGATGGACACTGAGGTTGTTTCCGTATCTTGGCCGTTAGGAATAATGCCACTATAAATATGGGTGTACTAATACCTGCTTGAAACCCTGGTTCCATTTGTCTTGAGTATACAGAAGTGGAATTGCTGGATTTTGTGGTAGTTCCATGATTAGTATTTTGAGGAACCACCATGGTATTTTTTGGTTATGTGTTTTAGTCCCTATATAGTTTGTGTAACCACCACCTAAATCAGGATACAGAACAGTTCCATTATAAAAAACTTCTTTCTCCTGCCCCATAGCAGTCAGTTTTTGTTAAGTGGAAAAGAGAGCACAGTTAAATGCTAAGAGAACAAAGTAAAACAGAAAGAGGATGCTGAGCTTTAGGAGGGCCTCCTTTCTGTTAGATGGTATGTGGTAGATTGTGATGTACCTTCCACATCTGTCTTCAGCTGGGAGAGCTGCTTCACCCAAAGTCTTGACATCTTAGGTTGGCTAGCATTTAGGGACTGATCTGTGCGGAGTTCTGCCACGGCTCCCACATCCCAACACAGTCGATTCTGAAGGGACTTCCTAGTTCAGACTTCCCTATGGTTTCAGCTGAGGCTTTGTTGGAACTCTTTGACAGCTCAGCTTCCCTCTCTGCCCACTCATGCTTTCTTCTCAACAGTGGTTTCCCTGGGTCACTCCATACTAAACACCATGTGTTAATCTCCATCTCACAATCTGCTTCCCAGAGAATCCAGTTTATGGCAGTTTTGTTAATTTGCACTATGGATAAATACAAAGCAAAAAATGAATTATGTTTGGAGAGTATTTTTATTTTCCATATTACAATCTAAGGAATATATCACCATTTGGATAGTACAGCTCTTCAGAAGCAAGAGTAGACATTTCCGAACAAGTGTATTTTATGTTTTTCTTACCTTGATCAAAAACTGATGTCTCCTAATAGAAAAAAAGTACAGGCTCACTTTTGGCTCAGAGTTCGCAGAGCACTGTATTTTTGGTTTCTGCAAAAGATGTTAATTGTAATCTGGTGCTGTTCTTTTCTTTCATAGAACCACAGAATAAGAGAACTCCAGACTTACCTGAAGAAGAATATGTAAAGGAAGAGATCAAGGAAAATGAAGAAGCAGTCAAAAAGATGCTTGTAGAAGCCACCCGGGAGTTTGAGGAGATTGTGGTACGTAGACTAGATTTAACTCTTATTTTCTCTCCTTCTATTCTTCTTTTTTAAAGTTGGTTATTGCATTTAGTTTTTGTACACCTAAGGCCCTGAAAGGTAAGGTTTGGAGTGGGAGAATGGAAAGTGGGACTGATCTTGGTTTCAGGCATGCAGTTTTGAGGGAGGGGCGTGCGGGTGGCTCATGCTGTTAAGCATCTGACTCTTGATTCTGGCTCAGGTCATGATTCACTTGTGATATCGAGCCCCCTTGTCAGGCTCTGCTCTGGGCGTGGAGTCTGCTTGGGATTCTCTCTTTCCACCTCCCTCTGCCTTTCTCCTGCACATGTGTGCATGTGTGTTCTCTGTCTCTTAGAGAAAAGGGGGAGAGGGAGAAAAATTGGGGAGAATTATTAAAAAATTTTTCTTTAGTGTTTGTTTATTTTTGAGACAGAAAGAGACAGAGTGTGAGTGGGGGAGAGGTAGAGAGAGAGGGAGACACAGAATCCCAGGGAGGTTCTAGGCTCTGAGCTGTCAGCACAGAGCCCTATATGGGGCTCGAACTCATGAACTGTGAGATCATGACCCAAGCCTAAGTCAGATGCTTAACCACCTCAGCCACCCAGGTGCCCCTGATGAGAATTATTTTGAAACAGTAGACAGCATCCTATTTTGGATACTTTGATCACAGTGTAAGGTTTTCAAAGTTAAGACTGTGGATTTATCTTTTGAAAATATTTTTGTGCTTCTCAGGAAAATAAATGCAATTTTTGAAGGAGTTTAATTTTTTTTTTTTTAAAGCAAGTTTAGCTTTTTGTGTATTTAGAGTGGTTTTGGGATTTTTTTAACGTTTCCTTATTTGGTCTAGCTTCTGATACTCTGTTGGAGTCCCATATTTGATCATAGTTACAGGGAAAGGCAAGAACTATAAAGTAGTGAGGAGTAATTTAAAAGAAAGACTCAATTATATGTGCATATTTTTTCCACGAAAAAGGATCTTTTAAATTAATTTTTCTTATTGTAAAGGGAAGTGATCAGGCCTCATTATTAGGAAAATAATTTAAAGATCTGTAATTGGTGAATGAAGGAATGCACAAGAATTGGTAGAATTTAGTGATTGTTGCCTTTTGAAGTCTGAGTTTTGTTTTATATTTGGTCAATTTTCCATAAACTTTGAAATGCAAGCATGGTCTACGTAGGTTTCTTCTCACATAACGTGCTTTGTAATGTGCCTAAATGTAGTATAGTACGGAGACCCTAGTCTGCTCATACATCTGTGTGTTTTGAGTAGTTAAGTGAAGGCATTGGTATGTACTGGGGATGTAAGTGATGAGAGCAAAAGAGATACAGTTCCTGTCCTTAGGGAGCTTACAATCTGACACTGAAGCCAAAGTTTTGTTGTTTTTTTTTTTATTTTTTATTGTATTTATTTTTTTTACGTTTATTTTGAGAGAGAGAGAGAAGGGGACAGAGGATATGAAGTGGCCTCAGCAGAGAGCCCGGTGTGGGGCTCAATCTCAGGAACTGCGAGCTATGACTTAAACCAAATCTGATGCTTAACTGACTGAGCCACCCAGGCACCTCTTTTGTTTTGTTTTTTAAATGTTTTTATTTTTGAGAAAGAATGAGAGAGCGTGAGTGGGCGAGGGGCAGAGAGAGAAGGGGGTGCACAGAGGATTCAGAGTGGGCTCTGTGCTGACAACTTTGGCATTGACAGCAGCTAGCTGGATGTGGGGCTTGAACCCACAAACCGTGAGATCATGACCTGATCCGAAGTTGGACACTCAACCATCTGAGCCACTCAGATGCCCCTGAAGTCAAACTTTAAAAAATGATCTAATGAACGTGTGTGTACACGTGGACATGTATGCACATACACATATTTTTCATTATTTACTGTAGCTTCTCATGTTCTGTTGGAATACCATAGTTGTATGTATACATGAGTATGCACATAATGTACACATAAGCACACTTATATCCCCCACTTACAGACACAGACACAGACACTTCCCTCCCCTTAACCCATCATGTACGTAAACTTACATACACACATGCAACATGAGTAAGTATAAGAAGGAGCATAGTGTATTGGAAGAACTGAAGGAAGTCCAATGTGATTGGGGTGAAAAGGGCAAGCAAGGTGGTGGGAGAGACTAGATATCGCAAGAGTGTTTGGGACTTGGTAATTAGGAACTGGTCGTATTCATCGCTTTCTCTAGGTTGACGAGAGCCCCGATTTTGAAATACACATAACAATGTGTGATGATGATCCACCTACACCCGAGGAAGACTCTGAGACACAGCCTGATGAGGATGAGGAAGAAGAAGAAGAAGAAAAAGTTTCTCCACCAGAGGTGGGAGCTGCCATTAAGATCATCAGGCAGTTAATGGAAAAGTTTAACTTGGATCTGTCAACAGTTACACAGGCATTCCTAAAAAATAGTGGTGAGTTGGAGGCTACTTCCTCCTTTTTAGAGTCCGGTCAGAGGGCTGATGGGTATCCCATTTGGTCCCGACAGGATGACTTAGATTTGCAAAAAGATGACGAGGATGCCAGAGATGCATTGGTCAAAAAATTTGGTGCTCAGAATGTAGCTCGGCGGATTGAATTCCGAAAGAAGTAATTGGCAAGACAATGAGGAAAGAAAAAAGATGTGGCAAGAGAGGTTAAAAAAAATTTTTTGTCAACGTTGTCGTTGGAACTGACACTTGTCTTCTGACCAATGCTGCCATTGCTCTATGAGTCTTAGATGTTGTAGCCAAGCAGAGTTGTGTAGGAGGATAAAAGTAAAAGACATTTGACATATTTAGAGTTGTCCCTGGCAGTATCAGTATGTTCATAAAGGGAAATCCACACCAGACAGAGGTTGGTCTTTGTAGTAGTAATCCTTTTCTGAACGGAACCCTTGCTATATATTGGTTTCAGGAGCTAGTGACAAAGTCAAAGGAGGAAAATACAGAGCCTCTATCCTTTGGCAGAAACTCTTCTAGATTATGATAGATTCCAAATCAAGGATCTAGATATGTGGAAAGATTTAATTACAAGGTCTTGAGCTTGGACGATCCTAAACCCTTGCATCACCTAGTGAGCTCTGATTTCTAGACTGCTTTGAAAATCCCATATTCCCTTTGCTAACTTAATACTTGGGGACCCTGCTCCTTTGGCTGTTCTTTTCTTTCAGTCTTTGTCAGTCATACTTGTAGCACGTGTTTCTTTATCTACCACCCAGTTTTGTTTAAAACGCACACAAAACCCTAGAGAGTCTTAAGAACAGTCTTACTCAGTTATCAGTAATGTGTTTTTATTTATTAAAGACAATTTTGTGCTAAGGACTGTGTTAGATTTATATATTAGTGAATTGATTCCTCTTTGTTGTGTTACTTTTGTTGTTGAAAATAAAAAGAACTTTGAATCTCCAAGTGTTTTCTTTGATTGTATTCCTGAAACCTTTTCGATATAAAAACCATAAAGGAACTGACATTTCTTGGCTCTTAATTAGGTCAATAATGAACAAAATGGTTCCATATTAGAACTAGTAGGCCACTAGAAGGATGCTAGATTTTCTGGATGGAGCAGAGAGAAGATCTGCGTCAAGGGCTGTGAGGGACGGGAGAACACCACGGGCTGCTGAAAGCTGAAGGGTGAGAAGCCAATCAGGAACCATCAGGTGTGTAACAGAAGGTGTCTCTGCCCTACCCGTATCCCTTGGGCACTTACATTCCCGCACATGCCACAAATAGGGGTCCTACTGCAAGCACCTTCTTAAGGTTTCCCCTCTGCTTGAAGTGCTCTGGAGTTCATGCTGCTGGGAGTGGCTTTCGGCTGATGGCGGATGAGAATTAGAGGATGCATATCCAGCTTCCTTGCTGTCCAGAGAAATGACACAAGTGAATATTTGAGACGCACCCCTTGAGTGAGATAATGGGTTCCATACCATCTTTTAAAGGTCCCCAGCAGAAACCAGCATGGTTGCCCAGAGTGGTAGTTGTTTATGAACGCACTCTGCATAGGCTTCCTTCTGTGGTTTCACATCTGCACTTTCCTAATAAAATGCATCGTGGAATCCTCAGTTAAACACGAATTCTTAAAGTCTGCTTCTGGAGGAACCCATTCTAAATCAAAATGCTTCACTTTGCCCTTCTCTTGAGTATGTTGAAAGGATAAAACTATTCCCAGGAGTACCTAGCTCACTCCAGGAGTAACTTTTATTTTTTTTTATTTTTATTTATTTATTTTTTTCAACGTTTATTTATTTTTGGGACAGAGAGAGACAGAGCATGAACGGGAGAGGGGCAGAGAGAGAGGGAGACTCAGAATCGGAAACAGGCTCCAGGCTCTGAGCCATCAGCCCAGATCCCGACGCGGGGCTTGAACTCACGGACCGCGAGATCATGACCTGGCTGAAGTCGGACGCTTAACCGACTGCGCCACCCAGGCGCCCCCAGGAGTAACTTTTAAGTGGATATTGGGAAGGGCTGGGTGGTAGGCATTTGTTTAAAATGTGTCGTCCAATCAGATATGACTCTAGAGTGGTTGAAAATCAATATTTCATGTGTGAAACGGAGATGTCATTTGGGATGTTTATACCTTAGTAAAGTTCGTACAACTTTACCAGCCTAGAAATTTGTTTTGTCAAAGCATGTGCAAAAGGGTCTGATTCATTATATCTAGACTCTGAAAAGATACTTAAGTACTCATTATAAACCAGTAACTTCCAAATATCTGTTTTTGACATTTATCTGGTGTTTTACTTTTTAGGCTGGGAGATAATATGTGGGGAAACAAATTATCAAGTATTTTTGGGAGCACAAATCTAAGCAAGGAAAATGAGTTGGATCTTAATGGTTAATGGCATTGAGCTATGGCTGCATCTGCTCCATAGACCAGCTGTTCAATTCCTAAAGTTAGGATACCTCTCCTTTATTCTGCCAGATTCTTATTCTTTGGGTTTTCTTTCCTTGACTTCTTGAGGCTTGTGCTCTGGGAAACATCATTTCTTACTCATTTTAGCTCTTGAGTTAGACGCCTTCCTCACTGTTTTCCACTAACCCCACAGTTGAGCTTTTCAAATTCTCTAGGTCTTAAATAACTTGTACAACTTCATTAGTGGCAGAAACATTTCTTTCTGTCTCCTCTTTGCAAACCGCAGCAGTGGGCTCTGCTCCTGGTATTCGGTTTTCCTTTGTTCCGTATCCCTTTAAGCAGGTATGGTTGCATTTTAAAAGTTTAAGCTGACACTTGGATTGTTGAGCTTTTTTCTTGTTTTGGTCTAATGCTGTGTGCTGGATTATATGCCCCCTTTGCCTATACCTGTAAGTTGTATTTAATTGCTTGTAACAGAAAACTTCATCTAAAGGACTTGAAACAAGGGACATAAAAAGGGGATTTATATCTTATATGTATGGGAAGTCCTGAGTTAGTTACCTTCAGGATTCTCTCTATTTTTCTGTTCTGCTGTCCCTGGCTTGTCTTCTAGGCTGCTTCCTTCATGGTCAAAAGTTGGGTGCAATCTTTCTTGGAAGCCCCTTGATTTCTCATTGGCCAGAAATTTGGCACATACGCCTTCCTAACTCTTCCTAAATGAAATTGACTGGGTTAACTTAATCAAAGTCTATTTTTCTTGGGTTGCAGTTTGTGTAACCTTCCCTGAGAATGTGACATGAAAGGGAAGGTGAATACCCAAATAAGAGTTTGCTAAAAACTTGTACCAATTCTAGCCACCTTCTCCAGCATTAAGAAGATCCATCCAGGAGTGGAATGTTAATCACTGTTCTCATCAAACCTGGACCTAACCTTTTGAGTTGGTTCAAACAATGCAAATTGATAAAATTCAAAGATGTTTTTATAGCACTAAGGTAAATCCACATACACCTTCAAACACCAAAATCTACTTTGAGATGTATTATCATTTCAGAAGAAGAAAGAAGACCGAAATTTTTATCCCAGTTTTAGATTAACGTGTTAGACTAAGTGGTTGTATGGTGTTGCTGCTGTATTTTCATTGTGATTTTTTTTTTTGTAATGTTTTAAGTAGTCAAAGGAAAAACAATATAAATGAAGAATACTCAGTATCGTGGATTTAACGTAATTCATTTAGTCGTTCTCTTATTGGTAGATAGTGGGATAGTTTCTGGTTCCCAGTTGAAACCCTCAGAGCTTTGGGGAAAAGCTCACTTTTATGAATTCACATTATCAGGAAATACACTGTCCTTTCATTTTCTGCATGACAAACTAATTTCAAGCTGGCTTTCCCATCTTGCTAGGAAGCAAAGGAGTGCTAATGTGTCAGCACGTAGATATGTTCTTGCTTGGGTATGGTTATAGTTCATGCAAATTCCAGATTGGTAGACATCGTGATTAGAGAAGAAGTCATGTTTATCAGTGAAATGCTTTTGTTCAGAAGGATTCAGCAGACCTGTCTACTGGCCTATGGTGCTTCCAGAGGCTGTATGCAGCTTAGAAACCATCCTTTCTTTATTCAATGAAGTGAATATAGAAGATAACCACTGCCCACAAAACAGTTAAAAACTGCCTTTTGTGTTTCCAAGTGGTTTCTCCTTCCTCTTGCATTAATCTTGTCCCAAACAGGATGACTTCATTATCCACTGTCCTTTAAATTGCACTGATTTGCATCAAAAGAAGAGAGGTCTGGACCAGGTTCTGAGAATGACTTCTTTTTCTGGAATCTCAGACCTTGGTAAGCTTTGTAGCATATGGAACACAGCCTGAAAAGCATCTTCACTGAAGCACAGTTGGGGTCCTGGAGGGTCCTCTTTTTGTGGGCCAGGACTCGGAAAAGGTACCTGTTCCTGAAAATCTGTGGATAACAGTTGACATAAAGGCTTGAGGTTTCTGCACATTGTTGGTGAGTTGGCCAAGGGAATGAGATGGTCGTCCAGTTGACTGTGCTGCGGATAAGTGTCTCAGTGTGTCCCTCCTCGAGGATCCCACTTTGTAATCAGAGTCTGGCAGATTTCATCCCACCATTGCAGAATATATGTCTACCTGCCCCAGATCCTGCAGTTGGTGGTTTTGGTGCTCAGGATGAGGCTGAGAGTAGTCCTTCAACTGTAGTACTCCTGTGTGCTTCTATTCTTTGTGATTCTGGCACTTTTCTTGCTTTGGCGGCCAGAAAGGAGCCTGAGTATCTGAGACTCAGAGTTGATGGTATTGGCCGGTAATTCCGAGGAGAGTAAAGAATCCTCTCTGCATAGTCTATGGGCTGTACCATCATGACGCTTGGTCCTTGGTTCACACAAGAGACAGAGGACTCCTGGGATGGGAGAGGAGCAGGTAGAAATGTTTGGTTCCTACGGAAAAAATGGGAGGAAGCAAAATGATGAGACCTGCCTGGGAAAGTGGGCAGATCAATTTGATGGTGCTGAGCTGTCAGACCTGGTCTTGCATTTGGGCTGTCTGCCAAGGAATTCATGGACTCAATTCTCTGCCTTGGGTATGGAGATCTTTAATTCTGAAACCACATCTATGTGAAGAAAAAGACAGTGTCATAAGACAAGTGATTCTGGCTCAGTTTCTCATACTATGTAAAGCAAAGGGGCTATTAATACAGGCCCCATTATCGGGATGGGGTGTGTGTGGGTGTGTTTCATGTGAAATAGAACTATTGCATATATATGTCATTAATTACTCTGATTCCTGTGTATAGTGTGTATGTATATATGTGTACATATGAATGTGTGTATACACATACAAACACAAAAATTGAGGTCCTAACACACTTAGCAATCAACTATAGATGGATTGAAACTGGTTGAAAAGGCATATGCTTTAGATTCTTCCCTTTAATTTCAACATTGGATCAGCAAATAAGTTTTCTTGACCAGGTTGACATTTATCTCTTTGCCAACATGTGTATAAGAATCCCAATCTTATATACGTGGTTATAAATAAATCTGATCAAGGATTAATTAACTGTACTGATAAAACTATGAATGTGTTTCCTAGTCTTGAGCATTTAACATACACTAAACCACTGTCCTCATAACTTTAGAAGGTACCCAGTAAGAGTGATTTTTTTTTTCTTTCAACTGGAGGACATGGGACTAAGTCTGTAGATTTTTGAAGCTGTCACAAGTTGGTGGAGGGGTAGGTAGGCAGGGTATTTGGTTGAGGCCAGGAATGCTTAAAAATACTGATTAGGTGCAGGACAACCTCATAAGAAAGGAATTATCTGGACCAAAATGACCAAGCAATGTCAAGCTGTAGAAAACCTGACAGGGTATTCCCAAAATAGATAGTATTAACTTTCATATTTCCCCCCATTTTTGCTGCTGGAGGTTCTAAATGGTTATCACACTGACAGAATTCTTCATTTTGCAGGAATCTGACTTGCAATGCTAGATGTTTACCAATCCATACTGTTACCCATGATGATTGTGATAATCTCAGGTCAGTTTTTCAGCAGCCCATCAGAGGGAAATATAACATCACTTACAGGTAGAACATATTTGGTGCTATAGACAGAACTTACTTGAATTCTTGATTCCTGAATGTCTGTTATTTTAGCCACTTTTTTCCTGGTTGTTCTATCAGGGAATTGGTTCCTCTCAAAAGCTTGAAGTAGGATATGTGATTGAGGTCTTGTGATGGATGTCCAGTCTTCTCTGGCTGCTTTTGGTAAGTATTCTACAAGAGAACATGGAACAGAGGTGTCTTTTAGGACAGTTCTCATATTTGAACTGAAAACTTGAACCTAGGAAGATAATGCTGACACTCCCCCTGAATCCCTGAGGTTGACAGAACAGGATGCCACCCTGCTTAGAGCAGCAAGACAAAAGGCCCAGAGCCTTGTGTGCTAAGAACCTGCCTGTCGCACCCAGCTGTGGGGCCATGCTTTTATTTCTGACGCTAGGGTGCCCAGAACAGGCTGTAAGTGCCTCCTAAGATAATGATTTCTTTGTCGAGTATATGGGCACAATATGCAGAGCCGTTTTCACTTTCTCTGGGATCCACTGAAGAAATGCATTTGGACCAGTGGATTCTTACCTTGAGACCGAGGCAGCGGATTTTGTTCCTGGGTTTCATCTTAAGGAGCATCCAAATTCCAATTGTCTTTGTTTGGATCTGAGGTTTTTAAGTCAAATCTAAGTGGGAGAAGAAGATGTTGAAGTCATGTAACTCAATCTGTGTTGTCCAAGTATCAAGGCAAGGCAATTAAATGAAATTGATTTGATCAACTGCCATTGGGATAATATCCATAAAAAAAAAGTGATGTATTATCCTAGGAGTTATTATGAGCATACAATTCAAGACAGCATTTCTTTTATGGTCATCCTCATGGTATCCCAAGTAGAATTCCCTGATTTAAGAGACACTGTTCTATTAAAGGAGATCGATATTTCTTTTTCTCCCTTTCCCTCCTCCCATCTCTCTCTCATAACATGTCTTCTATGTGTGGATGTCTTTTCTTGGGCCCTATCATCTCTTCATAAGAAGTACCATTTTATTTTATGTAATAAACAGAAGAAATACCATTTTATTATATATAATACATACGGAATTGATTGTGAAAAGAATTTCTTTAGATGGGGAGTAAGTTAGCCATGGTCCAAGAGCTGTACTAACATTCATCCACATTCCCTCTTATCCCGTAGTCAGCAATAAGTAAGGAGACTTCTAGGACCCAGTACACCTTGCTGTGAAACTCTTGTCACTAATATAACCATTTGAACTCTTTCTTTGTTTCCTCATTATTGGAGTCAGATTTGCAGTGTACTTTCTAATTAGTTGTTTTATTTTGGTAATTTGCAATAGGAATTAGGGTATTAATGACAACCAATATTTAACAAATCACTCTCTTATCCAGGCATTGTGCCAAAAAGTTATCTGTTTTCTAAATGAGAATATTTGCAGGTAAGCTTTAAGCACATCACCAGATAGTCCCATAGTATGTACTTCTATTACTGGGAATTGAATAAGCTATCTCTTCACACCCAGAACTAATGCATGAAGAAGAGTAAAACATTTCTCTCCAGCATCCCCTCAGACTGAGGACCTTCTAGCCAATGGCTTATTGGAGGCTCTGTGCAGACACAAAACTAGGAACTCATAATTTTCTTCTAAAAGCACACTTATATTGATTTTCTTTGTTTTAAATGCTGTGTGGTATAATTGTTTACAGCTATCGAAGAAATCCAACTTAGTTTAATTTTTACATCAGTACCATTCAAAATAATACAATATGGGATTTTCATATACTTAAACATTTTTTAATTAAATTATTTTTAAGTTTGTTTATTTTGAGAGAGAAAGAGGGAGCACAAGCTGGGGAGGGGCAGAGAGAAGGAGGGAGAATCCCAATCACAGAGCCTGATGTGGGGTTCAAACTCACAGACATTGAGATCATGACTTGAGCTGAGATCACGAGTCAGATGCTTTATCAGCTGCGCCACACAGGCACCCTGTTCGTTTTTTAGTTTTGAGAAACAGTGTGAGCAGGGGAGGGGTAGAGCGAGAGGGAGACAGATTCAAAGCAGGCTCCAGGCTCTGAGCTGTCAGCACAGAGGCCAACGTGGGGCTCGAACTCATGAACCTTGAAATCATGACCTGAGCCAAAGTCAGATGCCCAACCATCTGACCCAGACCCCTACTTCATATGTGTGTGTGAAAATCACATTTCAGGTGTTTAAAAAAACCTAGCCTGAAAATTGGGAATTTATGTGAGTTCTTGCCCCACAGTTTCCTCAAAATTATGTATTAATCATCATTCTGCAGGATATATCAGAACATTTTTTTAAGATTTTTGTTTTTTAATTTTTTTAAAGATTTATTTTTGAGAGAGAAAGCGCGAATGGAGGAGGAGCAGAGAGAGGGAGAGAGAGAATCCCAAGCAGGCTCTGTGCTGTCAATGCAGAGCCTGACATGGAGTTCGATCCCACAAGCTGTGAGATCATGGCCTTTCTCACGTTGGACACTTAACCAACTGAGCCACCCAGCTGCCCCAAAGATACTTTATTTTATTTTATTTTATTTTATTTTATTTTATTTTATTTTTTTAAACATTTTTTTATTTTTTCAATATATGAAATTTATTGTCAAATTGGTTTCCATACAACACCCAGTGCTCATCCCAAAAGGTGCCCTCAATACCCATCACCCACCCTCCCCTCCCTCCCATCCCCCATCAACCCTCAGTTTGTTCTCAGTTTTTGTTTTTTTTTTAAATTTTTTTTTTCAACGTTTTTATTTATTTTTGGGACAGAGAGAGACAGAGCATGAACGGGGGAGGGGCAGAGAGAGAGGGAGACACAGAATCCGAAACAGGCTCCAGGCTCCGAGCCATCAGCCCAGAGCCTGACGCGGGGCTCGAACTCACGGACCGCGAGATCGTGACCTGGCTGAAGTCGGACGCTTAACCGACTGTGCCACCCAGGCGCCCCTGTTCTCAGTTTTTAAGAATCTCTTATGCTTTGGCTCTCTCCCACTCTAACCTCTTTTTTTTTTTTTTCTTTCCTCTCCCCCATGGGTTTCTGTTAAGTTTCTCAGGATCCACATAAGAGTGAAACCATATGGTATCTGTTTTTCTCTGTATGGCTTATTTCAGTTAGCATAACACTGTCCAATTCCATCCACGTTGCTACAAAGGGCCATATTTCATTCTTTCTCATTGCCACGTAGTACTCCATTGTGTATATAAACCACAACTTCTTTATCCATTCATCAGTTGATGGACATTTAGGCTCTTTCCATAATTTGGCGATTGTGGAGAGTGCTGCTATAAACATTGAGGTACAAGTGCCCCTATGCATCAGTACTGTATCCCTTGGGTAAATTCCTAGCAGTGCTATTGCTGGGTCATAGGGTAGATCTATTTTTAATTTTCTGAGGAAACTCCACACTGTTTTCCAGTGTGGCTGCACCCATTTGCATTCCCACCAACAGTGCAAGAGGGTTCCCGTTTCTCCACATCCTCTCCAGCATCTATAGTCTCCTGATTTGTTCATTTTGGCCACTCTGACTGGCATGAGGTGATATCTGAGTGTGGTTTAATTTGTATTTCCCTGATAAGGAGCGACGTTGAGCATCTTTTCATGTGCCTGTTGGCCATCCGGATGTCTTCTTTAGAGAAGTGTCTATTCATGTTTTCTGCCCATTTCTTCACTGGGTTATTTGTTTTTCGGGTGTGGAGTTTGGTGAGCTCTTTATGGATTTTGGATACTAGCCCTTTGTCCGATATGTCATTTGCAAATATCTTTTCCCATTCCGTTGGTTGCCTTTTAGTTTTGTTGGTTGTTTCCTTTGCTCTGCAGAAGCTTTTATCTTCATAAGGTCGCAGTAATTAATTTTTGCTTTTAATTCCCTTGCCTTTGGGGATGTGTCAAGTAAGAGATTGCTATGGCTGAGGTCAGAGAGGTCTTTTCCTGCTTTCTCCTCTAGGGTTTTGATGGTTTCCTGTCTCACATTCAGGTCCTTTATCCATTTTGAGTTTATTTTTGTGAATGGTGTGAGAAAGTGGTCTAGTTTCATCCTTCTGCATGTTGCTGTCCAGTAATGCCAACACCGTTTGTTAAAGAAACTGTCTTTTTTCCATTGGATATTCTTTCCTGCTTTGTCAAAGATTAGTTGGCCATACTTTTGTGGGTCTAGTTCTGGGGTTTCTATTCTATTCCATTGGTCTATGTGTCTTTTTGTGTCAATACCATGCTGTCTTGATGATTACAGTTTTGTAGTAGAGGCTAAATTCTGGGATTGTGATGCCTCCTTCTTTGGTCTTCTTCAAAATTACTTTGGCTATTCGGGGTCTTTTATGGTTCCATATGAATTTTAGGATTGCTTGTTCTAGCTTCGAGAAGAATGCTGGTGCAATTTTGATTGGGATTGCATTGAATGCTTTGGGTAGTATTGACATTTTGACAATGTTTATTCTTCCAACACATGAGCATGGAATGTTTTAATCACTATCCCAGTGTAGGGCTTGAACTCACAACCCTGAAATCAAGAGTTACATGTTCTAGTGACTGAGCCAGCCAGGTGCCCCAGTATGTATCAATACTTAATGATACCATATTATTATAGTGTCCTAATTTCCTAAATTGCCTAAATCTCGAAAATTGATGTATCTCCCATTGGGAGATCCTGAACCAGTATATTCTCTTCCTGTCAGTGAATATACCCAGTCGGTATTTCCACAATTGGTAAAAGACACACAGTTCTTGCTTTTAGTATACAACAATAAAAATCTTCTAACATACCTGACATAAAAGAATTACCTGAGAGTCTTGATCCCAGCATTTCTCTTTACCTGGAATCTGACAGATCATGAAATAGAAACCTAATGCTTATGTGAATTTTACACTCTGGAATGCCAATTTCCTTGCCCCATTGTTTCCTGGTAGCTTTATCAGCGTAAGGGTTTTGTTCAAACGATGCTTGGAGGATATCCTTTTTTATTTTCATTAAAAATTTTTAAAAAATGTTTTATTATCTATTTTTGACAGAGAGACAGGGTGCAAGTGGGGGTTGGGAGGGCAGGGGCAGAGAGAGAGGGAGGCACAGAATCTGAAACAGGCTCCAGGCTCTGAGTTGTCAGCACAGAGCCCGATGTGAGGCTTAAACTCATGAACTGTGAGATCATGACCTGAGCAGAAGTTAGAGGCTTAACCAACTGAGCCACCCAGGCCCCCCTTGGAGGATATCCTTTTGACTCTGGTTGTAAACAGTCCTGCCTTGCCAGGTTTCTTTTTGTAGTCTGCCTGGTCAAGAGAAAATGGGAAGAGGAGTACGAAGGATATGTTTAGGGATTAAAAACTCTGTGTGAACATATGTCATATGCTTTTCTAGGATGAAAGCCTGTAGGTTCATCAATGATTCTATATATTTTTAAAAAATTTTTAAAAAGTTGATTCATTTTGAGAGAGAGAGTTGTGGTGGGCGTGGGGGGGGGGGTTGGGGAGAGAACCCAACTCAGGGCTCAAACTCACAAACCATGAGATCATGACCTGAGCCGAAATCAAGAGTCAGATGCTTAACCAGCTGAGCTGCCCGAGCACTGCAAGTGTCTGACTCTTGATTTTGACTCAGGTTATGATTTCACAGTTAGATTGAGTCCTAGTTCTTGATAATGAGACTCACACTGGACTCTGTGCTGTCAGTGAGGAGCTTGCTTGGGATTCTCTATCTTCCTGGCTGCCCCCTCCCTCATGCTTTCTCTCTCTCTCTTAAAAAAAAAAAAAAAAAAAAATCAAAAGGAGACCCAGGTGCCCCATACATTTTAAAGGTAGGTGTTCCATATATATGCTTTTCTCCATTTACAATGTCAACTTTGAAACTTTTGACAACCTACTTGTGGGACTCCTGGCTGTTACTTTAAATGGAAAATTCCAATCTCCAATTTTAAAGCACCCATCAATCCTCTAACAACTTATCAATGCAAAACAGCTCCTGTTCCAACCATCTGTCCCTCTAATTATGATTGTGATTTAACTTTTATAAACTCTGGGAAATAAAGCACATGGCATTACTGAAGAAGAGAGCAAAATGCAGATGAAAATTTGCCACTCGCAATGCTGTTCAAACCCCTCTTGGGAAGAGGTACCTGGACTCCATGGGGGTCACTGGGCAATTGAGCAGCTCTGGAAGACGACAGGCTTATCAACACCAAGGGTGGCCCACCCATTTCTTATATACCTTTCTATCTAATCCCTTCATTATTGTTCAACACTTTTAGAAAGAAACTTGAAGTAATCAGATTAAGAGGAAGTACAGATTCTACCAGGCAGTTTTAAAACTTTAAAGACACCCTAATATCTTTCCAAATATGTCTTAGAATCTGTGCTCTCTAGTGTACATACACTATGCAATTTATATATGTATATATGCAATACATATATATGCATTTATATATTTAAAACATGTTCTCCATGTTGTACTCATGCTTTTTAATTTTGGCTTGATACTATTTATAATTTTGGAAAGATCCACCTACATTATATATATTTTTTATTTATTGAAAATAATTTTTAATTGTTTATTTTTTAGAGAGAGACAGCACATGAGCTGGGGAGGGGCAGAGAGAGGGGGAGACAGAATCCGAAGCAGGCTCCAGGCTCTGAGCTGTCAGCACAGAGCCCAGTGCGAGGCCTGAACTCAGTAACCGTAAGATCGTGACCTGAGCCGAATTTGGATGTGTAACTGACTGAGTCACCCAGGCACCCTTTTTTCTTTTCCTTTTTCTTTTCTTTTCTTTCTTTCTTTTTTTAAGTTTATTTATTTATTGTGAGAGAGAGAGAAAGTACAAGTTCGGGAGAGGCAGAGAGAAAGGGAGAGAGAATCCCAAGCAGGCTCCACACTCTTAAGTGTGGAGCCTGATGTGGGGCTTGAACTCACGAACTGGTTAAGTTAGATGCTTAACTGACTGAGCCACCTAGGCACCCCTGTATTTTTCATCTTTTTTTTTAATGTTTATTTTTGAGGAAGAGAGACAGTGCAAGCGAGGGAGGGGCAGAGAGAGAGAGAGAGACACACACACAGCATCCAAAGCCGGCTCCAGGCTCTGAGCTGTCAGTACAGAGCCCGATGTGGGGCTCGAACTCACAAACCATAAGATCATGACCTGAGCCGAAGTTAGATGCTTAACTGATTGAGCCACCCAGGTGCCCCTATACATTTTTTAAGTTTATTTTTCTTGAGATAAAGAGGGAAAGAATCCCAAGCAGGCCCTGCGCTGTCACCATGAACCATGAGATCATGGCCTGAGCTGAAACCAAGAGTCAGATGCTTAAATGACTGAGCCACCCAGCCACCCCCCAGAAATCTCATTCTTGCCTATCCAAAGGCCACAGTTGTATAAGCCAATTCTTTATAACAAATGTCTTTATTTGTACATATGTATATATGTGCACACACATGTATGTATAATTTCACTAGTTTCCTGTGAGTTCAGAATGCTACTGATCCTCTTTCTCTGGTTGAGACCAAATCATACAGAAGTTAGTACTTCAGGTCACCTGACCAGGCAAAGAATCGACACCATGTGAGGTGTGTTGCTGAGGTCAAAGGAAATTTGAATTGGCAATGGAAGAAAATAGCTACTATCTTGGACCATTTGCAGAAGTGAGGACATACTAGTTATGAGAATTTTGGTATGAATTTGTACATATATTAAAATATTTTTTTGGGGGCGCCTGGGTGGCGCAGTCAGTTAAACGTCCGACTTCAGCCAGGTCATGATCTCGCGGTCTGTGAGTTCGAGCCCCGCGTCGGGCTCTGGGCTGATGGCTCAGAGCCTGGAGCCTGTTTCCGATTCTGTGTCTCCCTCTCTCTCTGCCCCTCCCCCGTTCATGCTCTGTCTCTCTCTGTCCCAAAAATAAAAATAAACGTTGAAAAAAAAAATTAAAAAAAAAATTTTTTGTATTCTTCTCACAGTTATTCCCTAATGATCCAGTATAAGGTGCTTTAATAATAGTTAACTTTATAATTATTTTAAGTAGGCTCCACGCCCAACATGGGGCCTGAACTCAGGACCCTGAGATCAAGAGTGGCGAGCTCTACCGGCTGAGCTAGTCAGGCATCCCAATAATAGTTAACTTTACATCATCATATTTAAGGAGCATCAAAAAAGAAGGATGCACATCACCCAAGGGTGTTGCATCTTTTTTTGGAGAAAGGATTAGCATGTTTCTATTGTAATCAGGATAGTTGTGCCGTATTAGGCAGAAATCGCACTTTGTTGTAATTTTTTAAATTTGGAAATCATTTATGGTTCTAGGAGAGGTGTATGGTTTATAGCTAGGCAAGGTGTAGCCTGAGATGGTGACTTTTAAGTGTCAGCTAAGCTACAGAACTTAGTTTTTCACTCATCTAGGTGTTTCTATATTCATATTTTGTAGATGTGTTTGAAGTCCACAATCACTTGACTTTAAGGGAGATTTTCCCATATAATCTGGCTGAACCTGTCATTCAACTGAAGGACCAAAAGGTCAGAGTGGAGGCTTCCCTTCAAAGACATTCTTCCTGGGCACCTGGGTGGCTCAGTCAGTTAAGCATCCTACTTTGGCTCGGGTCATGATGTCGCAGTTTGTGAGTTTGAGCCCCGCATCAGGCTCTGTGCTGACAGCTCAGATCCTGGAGCCTGCTTTGGATTCTGTGTCTCCCTCTCTCTGCTCCTCCCCTGCTCATGCTCTCTCTCCCTCTCTCTCTCAGAAATAAAGAAACTTTAAAAGAAAACAAAAACAAAAACATTCTTCCTGTTGATAGATGCTTGGCCCATGCTCAAGAGTTCAGCCCATACTATGAGTTTTGGAATTGCTTAGTGAGTCTCTACAGTCACATAAACCAATTCCTTGCAATTAATCACTATATGTACTGATTCTGTATCTCTGGTTGAATAGTTGAACTCTGCCTAATACAATCACCAAATTGTTTATTTTTTTAAATGTTTAAGAGAGACAGAGCTCGAGTGGGGGGGGGGGGCAAAGAGAGAGGGAGAGAATCCCAAGCAGGCTTCATACTCATCATGGAGCCTGACGTGGGCCTTGATCTCACAGTTCATGAGCCAAAATCAAGAGTAGGATGCTTAACCGGCTAAGAGGCACCCCACAAATTGTTTCTTTTTTAAATGATGACATTTAACAGGAAAAAAAAGTGTATATGTGGATTTGTCATGGAGACAAGCCACAGGTGATGGAAAACTTGATTGAATCCTAGAAAGATGGCTACTCATGTTATGCCTCTATAAAGTTTTTGGTAAAACTATATTAGCTGTTGGGGCACTTGGGTGGCTTAGTGGTTAAGCGTCTGACTTCAGCTCAGGTCATGATCTCACGGCTCGTGAGTTCGAACCCCCCATGGGGCTCTGTGCTGACAGCTTGGAGCCTGGAGCCTGCTACAGATTCTGTGTCTCCCTCTCTCTCTGCTCCTCCTCTGCTTGTGCTCTCTCTCTCTCAAAAATAAACATTGAAAAAATATAAAAATCTTTATAAAAAGAAAAAATTTACGTTAGCTGTGAAAGCTTAGCAAAAAATGGGCGAAACCCTCTTGTGCTTTGAATTATGGGTAACAAAATATCTCTGTCATGTTTCATATGCTTTTGGCCATTATTGCCTGGGAACATCTAGAAAGAAATGAGCTCAGAAAGAAATGTGTTAATAAAGGTACATTCTATTACTGGTGAAAAAAAAATGAATGTCTTGTTCAGCGGGAAGAAGGTAGGAGAAAAGATGCGTGAACTTCAAGGTAAGGTGTACAGGTAGATTTCTACTCATTTCAATGAATAAATAAGAACTTGGAGATACACTTTGTAACAAAAATTTTATGCATAGTTAAGAAACACAAAAATCAAACCTGGGTCGTGATTTAAAATTTGGTTTATGGCAATGATCACATTAAAAATTCTATCAACAAATCATTCCTCAAGTATTCTTGTAAATTGCCACAGAAAAAAATGAAGCATGCTTTTGTCACAGACAACTGATAAGCTCAAGATATTTTAGCTGAGAGACAAAAATTAGGCATAATGAATTGGGGGATGGACTAATTCCACCTGGAAATAAATGGAATCAGGTTAATTGGTTTGTATTTGTGTGTGTTTTCCTTTGTGTTTTTCTTTACTGCAGTCTCTAGGGTCCCTACAAATGAGGCCAAGCAAGACAAGGGACATTCAAGGATCTGGTGTGGGGACTTCAGCCAGGAAGCAGAAATTGATCTAATGCTCAGTTAAAAGTCTACCCCAAAACATCTTCCCAGCTGAATCTTGTTACTGCTCTGTTCCAATGGGTGCAGTCTTCTTTATATATAAGAGGGTGTTTGCTACATGGGTCTGTTCCCTATTCCAACTGGCTCATAGCATGGGCTTTTGTTCTTTGATGCCTTTTTTTTTTTTTTTAAGTTTATTTGTTTATTTTGAGAGATAGAGAATCCCAAGCAGGCTCTGCACCATCAGCATGGAGTCGGCGCGGGGCTTGAACCCATGATCAGTGTTGTCATGACCTGAGTTGGATCCTTAACTGACTGAACCACCCAGGTGCCCCTGTTCTTTGATATCTTTTTTTAAAATTTTTTAAAAATGTTTATTTATTTTTGAGACAGAGACAGAGCATGAATGGGGGAGGGTCAGAGAGAGAGGGAGACACAGAATCTGAAGCAGGCTCCAGGCTCTGAGCTGTCAGTACAGAGCCCGACATGGGGCTCGAACTCATGGGCCATGAGATCATGACCTGAGCTGAAGTCGGACGCTTAACCGACTGAGCCACCCAGGCGCCCCTGTTCTTTGGTATCTTGATGAAGGAGCTATATTGGGATCTTCTAGTTGCTTTGAGTGTCAGTGGAGGTTTTGGCTTGGAAAATACTTCATATTGTGTCTGGTGGAGAAAGGTAAGATAATTTTGTATACTTTAGGGATGGAAGCTAATCTTGACCAACTAAATGAACCACCATATATTGAAGAAAGGCCACTTATTTCACATCCACCCTCATGGCACCAGCCCAGTCAGGTCATATCTTCTGAGGGGACTATACTTCACAAATTGATTTTAGTCTTTGCCCTGTGATTTCTTTCAGCCAGTGAGCTATGAGCAGCCTAATGAAGCAGTCTATACCATCTCTGAGCAGAATCCTCCCATCGTTTTGGGCCATTCCTCTTTTATCACTACTATGAGCCTGTCCTAGATAATGATGATCCCATTAACCTGAATCCCAGAAGGATGAGAGATAGACTTTTGTTGAGGTAAGCCACTAGTGTTTTGAGGTCATTTATTACCATGACATAATTGAGACTAAAGTCGATATACAGATTTCGTTGTTGTATCTTAAGCTCTGTGATAGGGTTAAGTGTTCCTTTTTATTTACTTATTTTAATCTTTTAATGTTTATTTTTTGAGAAAGTGAGCGAGAGCAAGCCAGGGAGGGGCAGAGAGAAAGGAGAGAGAAATCCCAAGCAGCCTCTGCACTCTCAGCGCAGAGCCTGACACAGGGCCCAAGCTCACCACTGTGAGATCATGACCTGAGCCAAAACCAAGAGCAGGATGCTTAACTGACTGAGCCACCCAGATGCTCAACTCTTCATTTTTAAATAATTATCTGAATATTCCCAGAAACCCATTTGTTATAGTGCCTGCCCCCTTCTTTTAACTGCAGGAAGTTTTCATGGAATTTAGAAGGGCATGAGATCCATTTTCTAAACAAAAAGTCCCAACAGACTTGTTCTTATCTCAGGTGTGAAACCTAAGAGTGCTAGTAGGACAGGATCCATTCTGTTGAAGATCATGTGAAGTTTTGTGCACAGGTGGTCACGTGACACACAGAAACTAAGGAATGTCTCTGTTAAGTAAGACTCAGAATGTTGCCTACATGAAATGAGTGTTTCCTTCATCTTGGGAAAGAGGTTTATTTGTACTGTAGGAAGGAAGGACACAAAGGGGTAAAACAAAGACTTCCTGGATTTAGTTATCCAGTTACCCTATCTGTTTATTCAAAAGTGGAGACGGGGGCACGTGGGTGGCTCAGTTGGTTAAGTGTCCAACTTTGGCTCAGGTCATGATCTCGCAGTTCATGAGTTCGAGCCCTGCTTTGGGCTCTGTGCTGACAGCTCAGAGCCTGAAGCCTGTTTTGGATTCTGTGTCTCCCTCTCCCTCTGACCATCCCCTGCTCACACACTCTCTCTCTCTCTGTGTCAAAAATAAATAATTATTAAAACAAAAAAGAAAAAAAATGGATAGAAAGCCACAGTTTCAGGGCCGATATCAGGGGGACTTTGATTCGGAGAGTTGACTGAGATAGCAAAGACTTGGGCTTTGTCAGAGAGGTGAGGTTGTCCTACCCTGGTAGCAGATGGGACAAGGGGATGTCAAGACAAGCTTTTCTCCTGACTGCATGAGTGTGTGAGAAACAAATGCTGTCTTTCCTAGGGTTGCACATGTAATCACAGAGGTTGTGTATTGCACTTTTCTAGAACCACAACCTCTTTCACTGGTGGCACTGGTTTACATTTAAGTCAAATCACCAAGCCCCACCAGGGTGAACTAATGGCACACTGTCTGACACCTCACATTTTTATTTCTTATGTGCACATAATTATTATTTTTTAAATATAATTTGTCAAGTTACCTAACATACAGGGTATACAGTGTGCTCTTGGCTTCAGGAGTAGATTCCCATGATTCATCTCTTGCATACGACACCGGGTGCTCATCCCAACAAGTGCCTCCCTCAATGCCCATCACCCATTTTTGTCTTTCCCCTCCCCCACCCCCCACGAACCCTCAGTTCTCTGTATTTAAGAGTCTCTTATGATTTGCCTCCCTCTCTGTTTGAAACTACTTTTTCCCCTTCCCTTCCCCCATGGTCTTCTTTTCAGTTTCTCAGATTCCACACATGAGTGAAAACATATATGCATGTAATTCTTAGGTCATTGATGTTCACAAGCACACCATGCATGCAATTGTTACTTGACTACAGATTTGTTGTAGCACCCTGTTTCATTTAATTTCTCTAATGCTCATTTTACTCCCTCATCTGCTCTCATTTCACAGCAGCTGTAGCCTGGAGGGTCTCAGCCCTGAGTGGGGTGCCAGGTAAGAAGGAAGATCCACTTGTATGGATACCATGGTCAAAGAAAACAGGTGGATAGGGGGAATGGAATCCAACCCTGCTTCCCTAATGAGGTTACAAGGAGCCTGCATGGCCCAGCCCCCACAGGAGGGGGAGGAGAGAGGAAGGGCACCTTCCTAGCATTTTCCTGACAGCCTTACTCCAGTTTGCAGTGGCTGAAGGGATTGTTCTGACTCTTTCCAGGGGCCACCGTCAAACCCTGCTCCTCGTCCTGCTTGTTCCTTGCTGATCCCCCCCATTCCCCAGTCCTCCATGGTTTGGCTGCTGTTGCCTTTGCAGAAGGACCTTATAGGATTTCCACTTATGCCCAGTGATTTTGGGGTGAGTTCATGGAAAAAGACTTTTTCTCTGGATTTTGTGCTGCCTTGAAACGGGGTGATTCTATGATTGGTATTTTAATAAATCATCTGTAAGGAGGGAAGCTTGAGCAAGGCTGGTGCCATAATTGTGAAGGAGCAGCAGTCACTCACTGATGTTGGTCAGGAGAGAGAGCAGTGGCATTTTGTGGCTTAGACAATGTTGCAATTTTATCTGTGTTTAAACAGGATCATAAAGTGATCTTGTTTGTGTCTTGATCCATCATGGCCACAGAGTGGATGTGTCTGATGTTCATAGTCTGTAAAAACATTTATGTTCTGCAGAAGGACACCAAGATATAACTGAGGGTACCAGGCCCAGTCCTGGCTATCAGGTGTGGCTTTACTCTTTCTCATACATTGCTTTGAGAGGTGGGGCAGGAGGTGAGCTGGAGAAATGCAGCCCAGCTGCTGGATCCATTGTGGTGTCTGCTCTCAAATAGGGGTCCGGGCTAGACAGAAGGAAAAGAAAAGCATTGTCAGAAAATAATGGAGCCATGAGGAGTCCGACTGGGGGAGGGGGAGAGCTTGGACTGGTGGCAGTCTAGACCTCCTGCAAAGGGAAGGGCCAGTACTCAGGCAGCCAGGGTGCCCTAGGGCGTTCCCTTGAGGACAACCTCCTTTCCATTCTCTCCAGATGTCTGACCCCTGTCTACCCTCCCCTCTCTCCAACTTACTTCCATCTATTGCCACCCCCTGCCATCCTCACATCAGCCATATCAGTCCCAGAAAATGCTTAAAGGACAGTCCCACGGGGCTTAGGGCTTCCCTCACTGCCAGATGCCATCTTGGAGAGGGTGAGGAAGTAGAAGAGGTGGTACAGTGACCCCCATTTGAGCACCACGGTGCCTGTCCTACAGCACATCTAGAATATTCCAAAGAGCTAATGGAACTGATACAAAACAGAAATTTCTATTATGGAAAGCATTTTGCATAAAACATTCACAGTACTGAAAAAGTACTTCAATTCAGAAAAAAAAAAATTTAGCTGTTCCTCCGAAAATGTTTAAGCCATTCATGAATTAAGAGAATAAAATGGCGCTCTGTACAGTGGATCCAATATGTACATGTGGGCGTATGTATGTGTGCACACATAGTCCTTGGATAAATGTTGGGTGCCAAGTTGACTACTGAGTCATTCTCACTGGGCACATTGAACCGACTCTCTTGGAGACAAATTTCCTCATGGGTTTAAAGTGCGTCTTTATAAAAGAAGTCTTACCCATTTGGGGGGGAATCTGAGGACTTTTTTTCTTCCTCCAGGAGGGCACACCTTTCTTTTTCCCAGATTGTATTCTCAAACTCTTTACTTAAGAAGAATGACGAGGAAAGATGTTGGCAATTACTGAATGTTAGCGTATGAGATGTCCTTTAACTCGTGAATGAATAAGTAAAATGTGGTGTATTTTATAATGCAATATTATTCAGATATGTAAGTTAATGAAATACATGCTATTAACATGGGTGAACCTTGCAAACATTATGCCGAGTCAAAGAAGCCAGACATGGAAGGCCACTATTGTTTGATTCCATTCATATTGAAATGTCTAGAATAGACAAATCCATAGACACAGAAAGTAGATTAGTAGTTTCTACTAACTATTAAGGGAGGAGGGAGAATGTCACTGAGTGCTGACTGATAGGGGGTTTCTCTTTAAAGATTATGAAGATTTTCTAAAATTAGCTAATGTTGATAGTTGCATAACTCTTCCAATATACTAACAACCAGCAGATTGCACACCGTCAAAGGATATGAGTTTTTCTGGTGAATGAATTATATCTCAATAAAACTGTTATAAAAAAGAGAATTAACTTATAAAAAGACAGTATAATGGAAAGGGTCATGAAATGTTTACCACCCGAGTAAGTGAATGTGCAGAGGAAACTTCAAAAACAATTCGCATTGAAAAATTGCTTCAAATGAACATGTAAATGAAAAAGTCACACACTATTGTGAAACTTAAGGTCTGTGCTATTAATGCTTGTCAACATATTGTATTGACAGACCACACGTTTTAGATTAAAATTGTCTGATTCACTGTAATTTGAATAATTATGTAACATATCTTTGACCAGAAAAAAGGTATTTTAAAGTATGCATTTAATTGTGTGGATGAACTTCAACAAATTTTCAAATGAAGAAATAAAACAAATATTGGAAATTTCAAAAGCATGGCATGAATAATAAGATCTGATTATGTTGAAAATGAAAGAACATTAAAAAGTAACGCAAAAGCATCCATTCATCTCCAATGATTCACTTTCTTTCTTCAGTCAAACAGAAAATAACATCAGTATAAGGAATGTTACTTTATTTGCCAAGAGATATTGCATATGACTCTGTATAAGTATTAATGATAAACTTAGAAAAGTATTGCCCTAAAAAATTATGAAAACATAATATTTTATCAATCAGTAATATTGGTAATAATTATATTCAAAATTAAGTTTCTATTAATCAATATTTGAATACTTAATAACATAATTATTATATTGATAAAATATAGTTATTCTATTAATAATTATTGCATAACCCAGTATCAATAATGAACCCAGATGATATAAAATTGTTAACAGTTGGAATTTATAATATGTTTACTATTAGAACACTCAATTATAATTGATGTTTAATATTTTTGTTAATTATCCTATGACTTAAATTGTAGTTATTAATGTATCATTTAAAGTTACCCTTTTATTTTAGATGCTTTCACATCATTCTGGCATTCTAAGATATTCATGCCATTTTTCTCTTGGCTCCTAGACTTGATAAAATTCAACATTATCACTGAATCCTGCTGTTGTAAAATCTGAGGCTCCTTGCTGTCTGGGTGCTACAAGAAGAAATGAAAGTAAGTTTTAGTATCAGTCATATTTTATTTCCAGTATTCAATTTAAGAAGTTCAAAATAGGGGCACCCTGGGTGGCTCAATTGGTTAAGCGTCCGTCCGACTTTGGCTTAGATCATGATCTCATGGTTCATGGATTTGAGCCCCAACCACTGACCGTGTGGAGCCTACTTGGGATTCTCTCTCCCTCTCTCTCTACCCCTCCCCGACTCACTCTTTCTCTCTCTCTCAAAATAATGAACTTAAAGAAAAAGTTCAAAATAAAAAGTGAAATTCCCAAGAATGTAAATTTTATTAAATATGATGGAAGTGGGTACATACAAAGTGTATTTCTTCTCATTCAATCCTAGGGTCCTTTTCAGAACTATTTCACATGCATATAGTCATAAGGAACCAGTGGTAGTTCTCTGTGAATACATTGGTTAAGCGGTCACCGCTGGGATCCTAATGACATGGAAGACAGTGTGAGACCCTGGGAACCTGACAGAAGTAGCCAGAAATTTCATAATGTATTCAGATCTTAAGATTTCCTTAACACCAATTTTATGTCATAGCACATCTTCTTACCTCTAATCTTGGACTCATCATAGCACATACTTCATTTTTTATTGCTAATTATCTAGTGTAGCTCTTTCTTCATATTCCTCGTAACATATACTATACATGAATATGAATAAATAAACATTCACTTCTATTTATAGAATAAATGATTTATAATATACTCATGTACTTATTATGTGTTCTGATAATATTCTTCTGTTATTATTATTTTTATATTCTGTTATTTTGTCTAAGAAAAAGACCTGTTGATGGAGCGCCTGGGTGCCTCGGTCAGTTAAGCATCTCTTAGTTTCGGCTCAAATCATGATCTCATGGTTGTGAGTTTGAGCCCCATATCAGGTTCTGTGGTGCATTGTGGAGCCTGCTTGGGATTCTCTGTCTCTTCCTCTCTCTCTGCTCCTCCCCAACACTCGCTCTCTCTCTCTCTCTCTCTCTCTCTCTCAAAATAAATAAACTTAAAAAAAAGACTAGTTGCCTTTCCGAAACCTGCAATGTCCCAAATAGTCTATCAATTGTATAAATTAGGTATGCTAAATGAAGAAATATAAATGAATAGTCTAACCAAATAATCAGACCTCAATTCTAGAATCTTTCTTCTGTTCTAATTTTGTTTTCCTTAATTATCTCTCAGTCCACTGAGGAAATACAAAGTGTTATTAAAGAAAATGCTCCTATCGGCTGAAACTCAGATTCCATTATTTTGTTTTAAGGCGCCTTGGTTAATGCAATTATTTAACAGAAAAAAAAGTTTTTTGTTTTTTAGCAAAATTATGTTTTTTAGGAAATTATGCTTTCAATTTATTATGGGATGTATATTCATTTGCTACATGCCTTTCCTTCCCAGATCCAATTCTAAAACATCCTTAGGTTGGATCCAGCATTATAATCAAAACTCGTAAACAAAATTCATAACATCAAGAGGAATGAAAACTCAAGTTCTAAAGAGATAGATAATTGGAAACAAGATACCAAAGAGATTGGTGGACTTGGTGCCCAGTATGGTGTGCTGACAAACAGATCTTTGCTGAGAGGCGATTTGCCTGGATCCATGTTGGGCTTGCCTTGGACATCATTAGATCCCTCAGGCACATTTGATATCGAAGAACACTTCGAGTAAATCAATACTCAGTGATGTGTCCAGGGGCCACGTCTCATCTTGGGTCATGCTGGTGGTCAGAGCCTTAGGCCCAGCCTACGTGGACAGTATGTTTAGGTTCAGGATGTATTGGGTAACCTCCAGGCAGAGGCGGTTCTAGAGCATTAACTGATGAAGCCCCAATATACTTGCTTTAGTTGGGGACAAATCTGCCAATCTCCAAAGTATTCATAATTCAATATGATCAAAGAAAACCCAAAGTCATATGATCAAGAAAAATGTCATGTAGCTAAAAGCTCACACTGCTTATTTGGCTGTGGAAGGAGGGTGCTTTCTTTGGGCTACTATTTCCCTCCAAATGACCACTGGGTAATTTGTCTTCAGAAACTAACTAAGTAAGAGCCACTTTGGAAATTTTTTAATAATAGTCTCATTCATCTGTGGCCAAGGGCAGAGAAGTGCATCCTTTATGCCCATCCCATTCCCCAGACTGGGAAGTCCTCTGTATTTTGTTAAGTTGAGCAACAGAATACATTTACTCCTGGACCACCCACCTCATTAAGATCAACCATTCTTGAGGACCTCGGGGTCATCAGGCCAGTGACTTGCTGTAGCCCAGCTCATGTGTAGATGGTTATTTCTGCCTGTGACTTGCTATGACCTCTGCACCAGCAATACTCCAAGGGTCAAAGGGCAGCTGCATACCCACAGCCTTGTGTAAGTGTCCTAGCAGCCCTGCGGTAGTGAGAGGAAAATGATCCCGGAAGAAGTAGGGCTTCCCAAGGTCCAGTTGTGGTGGGCTGGTCCTCAACAGGGGCCAGTGCCTCTCGGGTCACATGCTCTTGTTCTGTCCTGGTGGAAGACAGAGCTCTAAACTATTTGTCCATGTCACCTCCACCTGTCACCAGGTTGGCCAGGCCGGGGCTGAGGATGGAGGTGATAATCTCGGAGCAGGGGAGGGTCGACAGCTCTGCTGAGGTCCCTTCCATTCCCAAGATAGGCCTTGAGATGGGGAGGGAGAAGGACATTAGAACAGAGAAGGGAATTAGGGGTCCTGAAAAGTGTTTTCACCATCATACTTTGGCCTTGGGCTAGTCCTGGTAGAAGAACACTGGGTTGAAGTGTTAGCCTTAGGAGGGTGAAGCACCCTGTGGCCACTGGTTAAATCCGAGTACAGATTCCCTCTTAGGCACCCCAGGGACTCCACTTTACCAAATTCTCAGTCACTGAAGTGTGCACCCTGAGAGACCGGTTCTGAGCGATGATAGTCAAGGCTAGTGGGGTCAGCAGGGATGGAGTAGGATGCTATAAGGAAAAAAAATGTGAAATTGGATGGCCTCTGAAGGAAAGCTCCCTGTCTGTGTTGGTAAATCTTCGTGTAGAGTTGGATTTTGAGGCTGGAGGCTGAAGGCATCTGAATCCACAGGCAGGTCTCCTCAGAGCTGTTAATACAGTTAAATCCATGATGGATACTGAAGGAAGTGATGCTGGGCCTACGGAAGTTTCACAGACCACTTTCTTTCAAAAATTACTTATCAGTTAGCTGTATCAGTCTTTATAAGTAGCATCAACTCAAGATAAACTCTCGTTATGGGATCTTAAGAAACAGCCATCTCTGAAATACTGTCCTTACACAGCCTAGGACAAAGAAACAAGGCACTCACCAAATTTACTTCCAAGTGAAATCCATTTATGAAGCACTATCTTCAAAATAGTAATTCTTCTGAGCTTCAATTTTGAGCAAATATACAATTACGTAGCAACAGTAGTGAAAACAATTACAAGAAAGTCCAAACTGACATCAGAAGAGGGAAAAGGTATTCCTGTTGTCATTCTATAGTAATGACAAAAATGTAACTCATATTTTGTGTAATGAACATTTATTAAAAATTACCCTAAAATTATAATCTTGTTAGTTCTCCATTTGAGATATTGTACAATCACTTAAATCAAGAAAACAAAGAGAAAGAAATCGAAATTATTTCAGAAGAAAGACAAAATTCTTGCTGTGTTTCTGATTATTTCAGTGGACTTGTTAACAAGAACAAAGAAACTGTCATTACAACACCTCCAAATAGAACGACCTAGAAACACTGAATTTCGAGAGTCACACTGAAAAAACCCTACAGTTCTAGAATATTATCTAAGGTCGCCAGTGGCCTGGAGTGAGCCAGAGACCTTGTCACACTCTGAACTTGAAGACAGACTCAGACTCAAGTGCCGGTGATACCAGATGGTGACATGAATTAGTGACTTTGCCCTGCTGTCCTCAGGGCAGCTGGGGAGGGAATCACTCAACTGAGATGTATATTATTATTTCAGAGAAGCCCCGAAATGTTTCTTCTAATACTACCTAAGATAACCCCTAGTGTTTATTTTGATAGTGAGCTCTAAAATCTTTTGTCGGTGTGTAAGCAGTGTCCCCTTGGTGCCTAACTGGGATCCCACATGGTAGTGACTTCTTAAGCATTTCTTTCCCACTCTCACAGAGCTTGAAAAGCCCCCTCTAGCTGTGGTTTCCTTCACTCCAGGTGCAGTTCTTGTTGTCTGGCACTCAGAGTTTTCTGCTGAACCCCTCTCTGCTACCATGTCCCCACCAATGGTTGACTCTGTCCTTGAAAGCTGTCCCATGTGCTTCCAGCCTGCATGCACCTGGCTCCAGCCCATGCTTACTCACAGTCGCCGTGTTTCCTTCTTCTGAGTGAACGATGCTTACCATTTTCCTCCAGGAAACATCCTCATACTGCCAACACTTTGAACCCATCTACAAGGCAAGCACAGTTTAAACACAGGCAGACAGTTTTTCAGAGAGTGAAAGTGAATGGAATTTGGGGGTAAAAGTCCCAGATTCAATACTAGGTGTGTCCTCAGCTTTGTTTGTGATGCTAAAAGGAACAGCTTAGTGGAGGGTTTACATGTGCCGTGGGCTTTACGTAAATTCCTCTCCGGTAACCTGCACAACAAGCCTAATCCGTGCTCGAGCTGGGACGGTTGAGGGCACGCAGACTTGAATCACCTGTCCAGAGTACCTGGCTAGCAAGGTGCAGAGGTGAGGCTCACCCCAGGAAGCCTGGCTTCAGAGCTTGAGCTGTCAACCAACTGAATGTTGTGTGATTTGGAGCTTGAGTTTGAGCCTCAGTTTCCTCACCTCTACATGCCATCCCCTTCCTCAAGGAGAGCCAGAGTGAGCTTCAGTGAGATCAATAAAAACCTGGTGTGGAGACAATATGGCACTCTGTGCTTTGGGAGTCGTGTGCCCACAACATTCATTCCTGCATCCAGGGAAGACTTGATCAGTGCATGCACTTTCCCGCCTCACTTGGAACTGTCCAGGCCAGTGAAATGATCTGGGTCCCTGAGATCCAGTGGCTTTTCCTTTAACACAACAGCACCCGTGCTCTCTGCTGCTCAACTTTGGTTTAGGAGTTCCATCCTTACCATGTCTCTTTCCTTGTAAACTTCTTCCAACTTTCCCACAACCCTGGTTCACAACCATTCCCACACCCACATTAATGCGGAGTATATGACTCACCGTCAAGGGTCAAGCTCAAAGGGGCTGGCCCATCACCCATGCGAGAGGGTGGAGCAGTCTGTAAGATAAAGCTGAGGTTCGTTAGGGAATGTGTGGGAACAACAGGGTCCTAGGTAAGACTTGAAAGAGACACCACAGGCGTGTGGGTTCTGCCCAGAGCTGCCAGAACTGTATGAGGTCTCAGGTCTTGTCTGACTGGATTCATCCATTCATTTCTTGCTCGGCTCCCCAGATCCTTAATGAGTGCCTGTTATGTGCTGGACAGGAGAGGGCTCGGTGAGAATAAGATTCACCTTTACCATTCAGAGGGAAATGCAGACACTACATGGGCAACAAACACGAAAATAAAATTATTTCAGAGAGGATGGATTCTATGAGGCCATGAATAGGGAGAAGGGACACAGTGAGCGCAGTCACTAGGGTGTGGTGGTCAGGAAAGTCACTTTAGAAGTCAGGAGCAGAGCTGGTATTAAATGAAGAAGGCAGCACCCACCTGTCTGGGGAAAGGTATTCTTGGCAGAGGAAATAGCCAGTGTGAGGCTCTGAAAAACAAACAAACAAACAAGCAAACAAACAAACCTGACCTTGACCTATTAACAGAACATTAAGAAGCCCTTCCTGATGGAAGGCAGAGTTCTAAACTGTCCATCGACATCAGTTCCAGTTGTCACTGGGTGGCAGGTGGTCACAGGGTTGGTAGTCTGGAAGGGACAAGGGTTGACAGACTGGCCTTTTGAGGTCCTTTCTAACCCCAAGTCCAGACTTGTGATGGAGACAGGAGGTGAAGGGCACAGAACAGAGCGGGGGATCAAGGCCCTGAAAATGTCTCTGTTGGAGTAATTTTCTTCTGGGGGCTGGCCTGGCTGAAGAGGACTGGGTTTGTCCTGGGAATTCAGAAGGGGCCCCCCTGGGGCACCTTTCAGAGTTAAGATTAAGATTGAGTCTTAAGGATCATCCCAGGTACTTTAGCTTGCAGAAGGTAAAAAGCTTGTGGCCTTAGGGTTAAATATGAGTTCAGTGCTTCTCTTACACATTCTGATGACTCCCATTTCTTCTGTACCAAATTGAAACGTGTTCTTTGAAAGGCTGGTTCTGGTAGGTGTCAGTCAGGGTCGTGGTGGTAGAGGGTGAGTGGAGAGCACTGACTCATAAGTGTGGGAAACTGGGTTGCTCCTGGAGCAAAGCTCCCTCTCTGGGCTGCTAATTGAGGCCAAAGCTCCATTCTGAGGATGAAGGATGAAGGTGGCAGAATTCATAGGGCAGGTCTCTTTGGGGCCATCATTACAGTTACACATGATGAATGCTGAAGGGATGCTTGGCCATATAAAATGTTTCACAGCCTTACCTTTTCTTAAGTCAAACATTGATTTTGTTAAACATACTAGTGTTATAACTAGAGTAACTCGGCTCTTGTCTCAACTAAAATAAACTTTGTGTTTCACATCTCCTGGTTGTGAGTCCACTCATATAAAATTGCCACTTAGTGTCTGTGTTATGGGGCCTTGTTAGAAATAGCCAACCAAAATACCGTTCTTACTTATATACTAGCAATGAAAGCAGAAGAGGAAAAAAATATCTGTCATTTTAAGAAAAAAGAAAATTCTGTGTTTCTGATTATTTTAGTGGACTTTATTGATAGCTACAAAATACTGTCATTACACCTACAAATAGAACAACATGGAGACACTGGATTTCGAGAGTCACACTGAAAAAACCTATAGTTCTAGAACATTATCTGAGAACTACAGCCCTATCCGGTTTGCACGTGGAGCAGTGAGTGGTCTGTGTAAAAGGCCTGCAGGTCACCAGTGGCCAGGAGTGAGGCAGAGACCTTGCCACACTCTGAACTGGAAGACAGGCTCAGACTCAAATGCTGGTGATACCAGATGGTGACACAAATTAGATCGAGTGGTCAGAGCAGGGCAGAGGGAATATTCCCTGGGTTTCAGCTGCTCCTGTTGCCAAGAAGCACTCACGAGTGTATTTCTGATGTTACTTTATGGACCCTCTCACATTTGTTCCTATAGTTATCTCCAAAATGTTTTTGCCACTTCCAGAAAGAATCCCCCAACCCCTGCCCCCGGTTCTAATTAGGACTACATTTGCCAATTGCATTTCCACTGTTTCTTACCCACTCACAGTGAGCCTGGAATGACCAGCCCTGAATTCCCTTGATCTTTCCCAGCTCCAGGGACTATTCCTGCGATCTGCGCTCAAGGCCGAGCCCCTTTCCCACCTGCACCCTCTGGTGTTTGGCTCGGTCCCTGGAAGAGTGTGCTCAGATGTGTCCTCCCTGCAGACACCTGCCCAAGCATATGCATGTTCACAATCTCCGGGGGCACCTCTTCCTGAGTAAGTGACCATTTCCCTCCACGAGAGGCTCTCACACTGCATTTTGGTGCAGTGTGACAGCCAGTAAAACTTAGAGGCAAAACGGCTTTCCAGAGAATGGAAAATGAATGCGATTTGGGGACGGATGTCCCAGATGCAATGCCAGTTATGTCATTAACTTAGACTTGTGATTGTAAAAATAGCAACTTATTTGACCATGGGCTAAGTGTTTTCCATAAACTCATCTCATTTAACCTGTACAACTCTGTCAGAGGTGAGGAGTTTGAGGGAGTAGGTCTAGGTGACGTGCCCAAAGATACCCAACTGGGAAGGTACAAAGGGGAGCCTGGTCCCTGGGCTTCAGAGCACAAGCTGACAACCACCCCTTAATGTTTTATAACTTGAAGCTTGTTTGAACTTCCATCTCCCCATCTCTACATGTAAGCCTTGCACTAGAGGGGAGCCCTATGTGGGTTTTGAATGGCATGAAGTGGAGAATAGCACAGAGTTCCTATGAAAGTCTGTGCTTTCTTGAGTTCTGTGCTTTGCAAATATTTGCCATGACTTCTAGGGAAAAGCTGAGTGTTGAGCGCTTGCAAGTTGCTCCTTGCTAGGGACTATCCAAACCAGTGGAAAATCTGGGTCTTGAAGTCCAGTGGGTTTTCTTTTACCATAAAAGCACCTGAGCTCCTTCCTGCTCAACACTCAGTACAGGAGGCAGTGACCACCCCACTGTGTCTCTTTCAGTAACATTGCTTCCTCTTTCCCTACAACCTTGAGTTTCTTCTACCTTCTACATGAACTGCATTA